TGTCTGACCAGTTCAATGGCTTAATTACCCATTCAAGAGTCATTTTCACCAAGACATTCCATTGCTCTAACGTCTCGTTCTCTTCTTCGATTTCATGTCTTCCTTTTTCTGTTATTATTATTAGGGTAATAGCATATAAGTGCAATTTTTTGGGGTTTAATATCCATAAAAATAATATTTCTAAAAAATTTTCAAAAATAAGTTAACTTTTAAAAATAATATCACACTAGCATTGTGGTTCGCCGCTGCCCGCCACCACTGTTTGTTGCCGCCTCCACCCATATCCACCTCCACCTCCGGCAACGTTGCCGGAGGCAGAGGTAGCGACGGCGGCGCTGGTGGTCATTCCTCTGCCCAGCGCCGCCACCGCCATCTCTGTCTCCACCCACCTCCAGCAATATTGCCGGAGGCAGAGGCGGAGGTGGCGGTATTGGGCAGAGAAATGACCACCAGCGCCGCTGCCGCCACCTCCGCTTCTAGCAACATTACCGGAGGTGGGTGGAGATAGAGGTGGCAGCGGCTGCGCTGGGCAGAGGAATGACCACCAATGCCACTGTCGCCGCCGCCACCTCTACCTCCGACCACTTTCGGCAACGTTGCCAAAAACAGAGGTGGAGATGGGCAGAGGCGGTGGCAAGCGAGAGTGAGCGACGATGCTGGTGAACAAATGGCAATAAGAAGATGATGAACAGTGTTTTGTTTTATTATTTTAAAAAAGTTAACCTATTTTTTATTTTTTTAAAAAATATTACATTTATTGATATTAAACCCCAAAAGTTGCTTATTATCCCTTATTATTATTATTATTATTTTTATTTTTTCTCTTAGTCTAACGTCTCTGTCTCCTGTAATCGTCGAGTTCCTTTTTATTGTTTCTTTGAGGAGCAAACCCGATGCCCATGCCCATGTTATTAATTATATATAGTATCTGGATCCCTCCATGTACTAACTAAGACAAGGAGTGGAATTGTGGAAACCCTATCGCTGGTTCCACCCGTGACACAACACACCAACCCGTGAATCCTCAAAATGGCATACCCGTCATCTCCACATACATTTGCTTACATCAGATAATTAAGGGAGAGCTGTTTGTCCAAACTCTGAAGAGAGAGAGAGAGGAGAGAGAAGACTTGCCCATTCACATTCACCTCCCAAAATATACTTGAGAAACAATCATCAGACACCATGTGAATCCGAGTGTCGAAAATTGAATCCCCCTACCAATCACCGGAATCACTTCATCAGATGAAAGAAACCCAACGTCTTACATACTGGTGGTGGCGGAAACCTAACTGGAGCCCGTGAAATCTCTCACGTGACATGCTAAGACAGCACATGCACATCTAAACTCTAGAGTCTAGACCCACCCCAGCCTTATTTTACTAGTTTACATGGTGTGGTGGTGCTGTCGGTGGTTTCCTATGCAGAAATGGCCGGAAAATCTCCCACATTGTAAAACCCTAGACGACGACGACGACGAACACAGAGGTGGCTGAAGTTGGTAATTTGTTATAATAAAGGTATAGCTGTTGTTGTTATGTCTTTGGTTTGATAATCGATGGGTGAGGTGAGATGTCCAAGAAACTCTAGCTATTAGCTTAGTGTAGCTTAGCTATTAATAAATGGCAATGGCCTAATAATGGGTTGGGGGCCATCTCTTGGGCGCCATAAGTTTAGAATCTACCCGTGACTGGTTTAATTCTGTTGTCGCGCGCCTGAGGCCTGACTAGGAGCAGCAGCCCCACTCATTTCCCCAAGCCCATATGAAGCTAAAGTACAATACAGAGTCACGAGACATGGAGCAATTTCATCAATCACATTCCAACACTTCACTGCCTTACATCCTATCTTCTCTTCTCCCTATCACCACAGTGATCACCAAACCCACTGTAAAAGGAGGAGGAGGAGGAGGAGGGACCCTTTGTTTCTTCTCTCTCCTCTCTCCTCCCTGAACCATCAGTTTTTATGAGAATTTTAAATAATAACAACATATCGACCTCTTTTTTTTATTGGGTGTGCTGTGTCTTTTAGCTTCAGAAACTGAGAAAAGTAGGCCTCATTTACTGTTAAAAAATAATCTTAAAACCCAACATTATAGTTTATAATAAACAATTGATAGACTAATTGGAAGTGGTTATTATTAATCAATTAAGGATGATATGCTGTTTTTGCGGTGACACTAGACTCCTGGGGATATTGTTTTGAGGAAAAGTAATATCTCAAGTTTTGTGGGCACAGTTTGAAAGACTGACTGAGTGGTTTATTTTATTGCTTTCTCTTTTCCTTTACTGGGAATAAGATTCCATTTTAGTGGTAGTTCACGGGTGCACACTTATCCAAGTGGGTCTCTCAGCTCTCAGAGAGGGTTTATGTGATGGGCGACTCTCCCTCCTTGATAATGTAGCCATTCCCTTTAATTAATTTGGATCATTTGTCCAATACACAGAAACTGTAAATGGGTTTGCCAAATGTTTAGTTCCTCTCTATTCACATCAACCATGCGGCCTGCAACAGAAACCCTTGATTGATATCAAGTGATAGAAGATTGTTTTGCTAAATCTTGTTTGTTTCCATTAAGAGTGACACGTACGGCCAACAAATGCAACCACTTTATTGATCACCGACCAAGCTGCTGAACTGCAGATTCCTGCATTACCTTACCTTGACTACTGATGACTGTTTCTCCCATATTATCTTTAGTTTTATTTTTCTAGTTGTTTGGCTCTATTTGTTTCAACTCAATCTCAAAATGGAAGGTAAAATTTTCAGATTGAAATATTAATTTGAACTACATCTTCTTTGTTGAATGCAATAATAACTGAAACATATCTCCATCTGAAAAAATTTTACATCCCATTTATGGAGAAACAACACATCCTTTACAATGAGTTCATGGTTAAACTACCAACTGGCTGAACTTTTTCATATTATTACACTTGTTGAAAAAGAGATTGCCAACAATGCTTTGAAATCCCATAAAATATTCTGGATTCTGTGCACATTTTTTAATGCTATTTGATGTCATTTAAACAAAAGCCATTAGAAGCCAAATAGACAAAAATTAATGAGAAACATTTTCTACATTATAAGAAATGTCACTATTATGTTCTCTTAGGAAATTATTTCAAAGAACCTAAGATATGAAGTGTCGCTTAAAACTGTTTGAAAATGCTTAGAAAATGAGAGAAAAAAAAAATGCCTACATGACGCTACTTTAGAGAAAACACCTTAAAGAAAATGCATTGATACCAAACACATACTTAAGGGGTATGATGTTAAAGAGGAAATTAATAAGCCTTATTAGTGATCTTTATTTTCTAAAAGTACATGTGCTTCAAATCCTTATTGTTAATTTAGAAAGTTGGGTAAAGTTTCAGGGCTTTCCTTGAAGAGATTTTCCTTCTAGCCAGTATATTTCTCAAACGTTATGCTGGAATTGGTTAATTAGGCCATATATGGTCTATTCTATTGGATTCTCTCTCTTTCCAAGATCAAGTATATATTAATCTGATCAAATCTAAGGAAAATTTTCTTAAATTATGTTTATGGTTTAGCTTATTGACTAACTCTATTCTTAGTGTAGAAATTAATCAATTAACTAAATCATAAGGATAGTTTAAAAAATTTACCTTTAAAAGAAAAGTATGTGAAATTAATAAAGAATTGAAAAAAGCACGTTCCTATAACTCAGTTTGGAAGGAGTACAAATACAAATATATAGAGTGCAAAACCTTGTATTTTGTATATATTTATATTTATACTCCTTCCAAACTGAGCCAAAATAATAAAATACATTTGAAACTCCCAACAAGTGAGCAACTGGCCAGGTGGAATATTACTACTATCTCGTCTCTTCGCTAGGCTTTTTTCAAATCTCAAAAGGCCAAATTTTGGTCTTTTTCGATTTGGTAACGAAATATAAGAAGTTGAAAAGATCTGTGTCCTGAAAAACTCGTGAAATCCCAAAACTACCAAAAAAAAAATGAAATATAAGCTTCTTGTCTTTCAGGACCTAAACTCTTTTATTTAACAGTTGATACACCATGTCACTTACACTTTTCTCTTGTACTCAAACATTCAGTATGTAACAAGTGCTCATCAGCAACTTACTGACCTGGACAGCGTCGACCCAAACAATGATTTTGACCTTTTTATTTTAATTATTATTTTTTTAATCAGAACTGACCCTTCATTCAAACCAGACAACTAAACCATTTAACCCGAGAAGTGGTGGCCAAAATGGTTCCACTCCGGTTTTTAAAACCTTACAAGAGAAAAGTGTAAGTGTAGGTGATCCGAATGCTGCCAATAAAAACCATAGCCTTTGATGCTGCATTGATGATTTATAGATGCCAATTAAAACGTTAAGCTTGGTCCCCTGCAGGTTCATCGAGTGAGGCCCGGCTTAATTAGCATGGATTAGGTTTGGAGACGGAACTCGGGAGGGAGTTTCATCTTTCATGTCTAGAAACTTCCATTCCCATTAAAAAGAACAAATTAATAACAGCTCACAAGTCACAGGCTTATTAATGCGGTTGAAGATGCAGTTCCACATTCACCCATTAATCAACTATTAACCAAATTGAGCAAAGAAGAAAAATAAATAGAAAATAACAAAAAAACACACGTCAGCTAGATTCTGGTCTCTAGACTCTCTACACATAAAATCAAAATGCAGAAAAGTTTCGAAAACAATTTTTAATAAAATGGAAATATAAGATTCTGGCCGAGAAGCCCACTTGACAACGGCACAACTCATGCCAAAATTTGCCACAGAAGAACTCTCTCTCGTCTCCTCCCTCCGAAACGCCAGAGGCCAAAGCTAGCTTTCCCAAAAGCCTCAAAACGTTTCCCTGAAAGATGGTGACACTGACATTGTAATCAATAAGAACTTGACAAGTGTCAGCCTTTGCATGGCAAAGTTGGGTACTTCTGTTTACGGACTGCACCACTATAAATTTCAATCTCAGGCTCAGGTTTCGTATTCGTAATCCCTTTTCCCTCTCAGGCCGGTTTACACTTTTCATGAGGGATTGAGTTGAGGCTCATGAGCGTTTACCTTTTTCTTTGTGCTTTCTCTTCCTCTTCTCTTTGTTGGACTCTTTAAGTTTTAACCCCTCTGAAACATTTCCGTTGAATTTCTGTCATTTTCCGGATTCCTTGATACAAGTGTTGGGTTCCTACCCAACTCAGAAGAGTTCTTCAAGTTTGGTTTCGCCATTACTAGTGAGAACTGCCTGTTTAATTAACCCCTTCGGATCTCACCTCCAATGGCGGACCTTCGTGGGTTATTGCTTATGTGTGTGGTTTTCACCTTTCTCTCATTCAATCCGGGCAATGTGGAAGGAAGAAAGCATATTCACAAGAAACAGAAGAGTAGGAGCTCTAATGCAGAAAGTCCTATTTCGCTCTCCCCTGCCTATCCTCCTGCTACTCCTCCCAATTCCAATGATCCCACTCCCACTGATCCTACTCCCACGGATCCAGGGAATTCAACCTCGGAGCCCTGTGTTTTTGATGTAACATCCTTTGGGGCAGTTGGAGATGGTTCCACCGACGATACTGCTGCTTTCATGGCAGCCTGGAAAGCGGCTTGTGCGGTTGAATCAGGCGTTCTTCTTGCACCATCTGATCATGTTTTCTTGATTACTTCAACAATCTTATCAGGCCCATGTAAGCCGGGCTTCGTGTTTCAGGTAACAATGCATACCACCATTGTTCTTGCATCTCATTTATCAGTGGCCTATTGAATGTATTAACATAACCATCCAGAAATTCCAAAACACTGAATGTTATTTGCATTACGATGAAATTTATTAAACTGGAAAATTTCTCTTATGACAAGGTGGATGGAGTACTGATGCCGCCGGACGGACCGGATAACTGGCCGAAATCCGATAGTGATAAGCAATGGCTTGTGTTTTACCGAGTGGATGGGATGACTTTTACAGGGCGTGGTACCATTGAAGGGAATGGACAGAAATGGTGGGAGCTTCCCTGCAAGCCTCACAGGGTATTTTTACTGTTTCCTTTCTGCAATTTTTCAATGGGATTCTGCTCGTGTGGTAGTTAACTCTGCTGAAACGCCATTACAGGGCCCTCATGGAACGTCATTGCCTGGACCATGTAACAGTCCTGCTGTAAGTGATGTTTTGGCAAAACCCCAATTTCATTAAGTTTCCATCAATCAACAAGGTTTGATAATTGTTGATGGAGATCTTTTTATTTGTTTATTGTTTCAGTTAATTCGGTTCTTCATGAGTTCCAATCTGGTGGTCAGTGGTTTACGAATCCAAAACAGTCCCCAATTCCACATGAAATTCGATGGCTGCGAGGGCGTCCTGATAGAAAAGCTCTCCATATCCTCCCCTGCTCTCAGTCCTAACACAGACGGAATTCACATTGAGAACACGAAATCCGTTGGAATATACAATTCCATCATAGCAAACGGTAGAAAACAATCCAACCCACATTCTTTAATTTAATTTCACCATGATTGATTGATCAACTAGTACACCTTAAATTCTTGACTACATGATGACCCTGTTTTTATTTTTTGGGTAACAGGTGACGATTGCATCTCCATTGGACCAGGTTGTTCAGATGTCGACATAGAGAACGTCACTTGTGGGCCTAGTCATGGGATTAGGTATGTGTTTACGTGATCATATTCCTATGATTCAATTGATCCAAAACTGAGCCACTTTAGTTCCATTCATTTTCACCTACCTGGGTAAGCGAGTTTATCTGGGCAAGTGTTTTTTGGGCAAAAGTTATCCGATTAACTTCAGTGCCAATGTTAAGCAATTTATCCATCCTTCAAGAGGGTATCGGTAACCCGGAGAATTGATACTTTCTGAAAAATTCGTTTACTGTAGGACCCAATATAAAGGCATAAATAAAAGGGGCCTTAAAAGAAATCATTGCATTTACTTTTACAAAGACCCAAAGTTATTGTAAATTGAAATGGGTTGACTTGTTGTAAGTGTAGCGCAATTAAGCATATAATAGGAACAGGGTTAGTTGATTGAGGTGAATTGTTTATTCGTTAGAGTGGCGATGAGGTGAGTGAGTAAAGTCTTGATATTGGTTTTGGTTTGGTGCAGCATTGGGAGCCTTGGAGTGCATAACTCACAAGCATGTGTGTCAAACATAACAGTCCGCAACGCCTTCATAAGGAACTCAGACAATGGGGTCCGAATAAAGACATGGCAAGGGGGAATGGGGTCTGTGTCTGGGATCAGTTTCGACAGCATTCAGATGGAGAACGTCAGGAACTGTATCATCATAGACCAGTACTACTGCTTGGCCAAAGCTTGCCTAAACCAGACTTCGGCCGTGTTCGTGACCGATGTGTCCTACAAGAACATAAAGGGTACTTACGATGTGCGTAGCCCACCTATACACTTCGCATGCAGCGACGCGGTAGCATGCACTAACATCACCCTCTCTGAGGTAGAGCTTCTGCCTGCGGCAGGCGAGCTGGTGGATGATCCCTTCTGTTGGAATGCTTATGGGACTCAAGAAACCCTTACCATCCCTCCCATTAGTTGCTTGCTGGACGGAGAACCTCAGTCCATCTCGGAAACCGCAAATTTTGGTTGTTAGCTAGGGAGTGTTTGATGTTTGCAACTTTGAACATTGATAATCGATGGGAGAATACTGTACAGAGACTACAAGAGCCCCATACTTTTAGTGGGCATTAATTGTGTCACTCACAGTCTTGGCCTAGGCTCCATCCCTTTTGGGGTTTGTTTCCCTTATAGAGTGATGTGATGTAGCAGAAATGGGCTTATTTTTAGTACCTCATTTTGTATTAAATTATCTGCCAGAATCCAGATTGATATAGTTATAGAAGCAGAGCATTTGAATCTGATATATAATAATGATTCTGGTTTTCAGTATAGTTTCTTTCTGGATTGCATGGAGATGCTGATGTCCAAGTTAGACAAGTGGAGAGGGGAGACCTTGCTTGAATGGTTCCAGGGAAGGGATGCAGGGAACGGGCAATCTAAGTGGGCACCAGAGCTCTGAATACTGAGGTCAAGAAAGACAAGAGTTGTGCTACAGGTTAGCAGCGCAATAAAAGATTGTATTGTCTGAGACTGAGAGTCATCAGTTATCGGTTCGAGGAAAATGGGTGCAGCAGAGCACATCTCCCACTGTCTATGGGCGAAACCACCTTGATAAGATGGATTGGAATCAATTCAGAGAGGGACAGGGACAGAGACAGGATCATACTCACGCATTACTCAGGGTGGTTATTCTTGGCTCTCCGCGAAGCTGGTGCCTGTAAGGTTTGGGTTGGGCTGCTCTGCTTAATTCCAACCTGATTTCTGTGTCAGGTTGTCCTGGGCTCTTTATCTTCTTCCTAATTTAGATTAGATAAGCTGGTTTTTGGTAACAATTCAGATTATTAGATAAAATAAGCTTTGAGAAGGATGATCACAAATGGGTTTGGACCTAGGATATCGGTTAAGACTAATTGATTTTTTTTTTTTTGGATAGGAAAAGGAGTACTTCATTTAAACAAATAAGACTAACAAACATGTAACAGAAAAAAAAAAAAGAAGCAACAGAGAGGAAAAACACAGAAAAATAAACCTCCGAGCAATCAAACAAAAATAAACCTCGATCCTGCATACCTCTCTGCGCTTTCTGCTATCTGAGGAAAAGGAAACAGTCATAAAGCCCATTGCACTATCAATGTCTTTTAGGAGAGAAGAGATCTCTGCTGCTGGGCTGGGGAGATCTATTTTAGTGACAGCTGAGAGAAGTTCTTTACAATCAGATTCCACCACACAGTTGGAGAAACCTGAGAGTCTAACCAGATCCAAACATTGTCTCATAACTATGGCCTCTGCTTGGAGAGATGAAGCTACAAGAACAGGACCAAAACATGCTGCCAAAACAAAACCATTTGAATCTCTGTCACAGATCCAAAACTCCCCTTTTTATTATGCTTGAACCCTCCATAAACATTAACTTTCACTTGTCCTACCGGAGGAGGTTGCCAAAAAAGAACTGGAGCTTTTGCAGTTTTAGATACATTGTACCTTCTAAGTAATTCTTCGAAGTCCCTATCATGAGCTGCAATTGCTTGTATACATTCATCAAAACCAAATTTAGAGAGCTGCTAGTGTTGTCAAAAAGAAAAGAGTTTCTTGATTTCCATAAGAAACACAATATATAGGCAGTATTTTGGATAAGAAAAGGAGCACCCTCCTTCACTTGAGCACAAGATTGAAGCCAGCTTTGGAGTCAAACCAAGTTTTCTTAACTAGTTCACACTGACAAAGGGCATGGAAGATAGTTTCTGCTGTTGCACCACAGATTTCACATGTGTCATTGTTTACTACCTGCCTTTTTGCTAAGGAGGTTCTAACAGGAATAGGGGTTAGGACTCTGGACATCGGTTTAAGACTAATTAGATTGGGATTTGACTTCCAAATTGTTTTAGGCCCCGTTCGTTCGCAGGAATAGAGGTCTAGATTTGGAATTGGAATGGAATATTCGGATTCCAACTGTTTGGTTGGGCAGAATCAAAATCACATTCCCATTCCTGCTGGAATGACATTCCCCCATTTGAGGGAATGGCTATTCCCTGCCCCTCCCTTGGGAATTAAATCTCATTCTTGCTGATTCCAATTCTCATTCTCATTTCTGTTTGAATCAAACAAATTATGAAAATAAATTATTCCAATTCCGATTCCGAAGATTCTAATTCTAATTCTGATTCCAACTACAATCCAAACAGGCCCTTAAATTATTTCATCCGCTTGCATATTATGCCATCCAAAAAGCGATGGAAATTTAGCCACCCCACCCCCCTTTTTGGAAAAAGGTTGTGAATGTAAATAGGTTGGTTAGGCAATGCTTAATTTCTGGAAAAAAAATAGAGGGAAACTAGGGTTATTACAAATACTAAAGGAATCGACTATTATACCGGAGATATCCTTAACCAATCAGCATGTATTATAAAGGCCCCGTTCGCTTTTTGGTAAGTTATTTATCCAGGGAAATGCACTTACCCGTGTAAGTGTTAGTGACTTCCCCCCAAGTGGGAAACTTATTTACCCACCTAGGAGATGGGTATCATTTACTCGGGTAAGTGATACCTAGGAAAATAAACTTTTCCTAGTCCCTAGGGGTGGATTCGAGCCTAACCGAGCCGAATAGCTAGATATTCGAGATCGGTTCGCCAAGGTAGTATGAGGCTCGAGCTCAGTTCGAGCTAGAACCTTGAGCTTGAGCTCGACTTAAGAAAAATGTTTTATAAAAATAAAAAATATGTAAAAAATATTTTTTATTTGATATTTAAAACTTAAGAATTATAATAGTTAGTTATTATTATATATTATTTTTTATAAATTTATTATTATTATTATTATTATTATTATTATTATTATTATTATTATTATTATTATTATTATGATGTAGCTATTCGAGCTCGGCTCGAAGCTTGTTGAAACCGAGCTGAGCCAAGCTTTTCATGAATCGAGCTCAAGTAGCTCATGAAGAACTCAGTTCGTGGCCACCCCTACTACTTCCCACATAAATCTAAAAAAAGAACATGGGTTTCTTTGTCAATGGGAATCAAAATCCCATTAACCAACTTTCCCCCTTCTTAAAATCCAAGAAAAGAACACCCCCAAAGTAGTAACCATTTAGGTGGCACGTATATCATAGATTTCCACCCTTTCTTTTCTGAAATAATCACGACCTCCCCTATGTAGGCTTGACTTTGAACTTTTATAAGTTTGAAATCCTAGACATTTTTTCTTTAAAGTTGAGGATGGGCCTAGCCTTTAGATAGTCCAGTTCAAACCCAGCCTTACTACATACATACATATGGGTGTCAATTGCACTAGATTTGTTCCAATCCCATCCAATCCGATGTGTGTCCATTGCAAATGGACCAAGTCCAATCCAATCTAATGAATATTTTGGATCGGTCCAATTCAATGTCTAGACCATCCAAATTTGTTCAACACATGGACCAACACCTATATTCTTATCTTATATCATTGATATAAATAATTTAGATTGGTTCCAACACATGGACAAGGTCCAATCCAATCCAACAAATAATTTGGACCATTAAGTCTGGATTAGTCCAGTTCAATGTCTTGTTGATCAGTCCAATCTGTTCAAATTGATTTTGGTTTGGACAGGGTCCAATCCAAAACCAATCCATTGACACCCCTATACATACAGATACATACACACTTGTATATACACAAAAATATACAATTTTTCTATTTAATGTTTTAGATTATCGATGCTAAATTGGTTTAGAACATTTTTAATACATTGGGCCTAATAGGTCCACCTAAGTTTAACGGGCAAACCTGAGTGTCTCAATAGGTTGGCCAAATCAGGGAATCCCTTGAGCTCAGTCCAGGCTTAGGTCTTATGCCTGACTCTTAGAATTGGGCTTGAGTTGATCTTAGGCCATGTTTGGGAGTGCTTAAAATTAAGTTCTTATTTGGCCCATTATGCACTTATTGGTATTTGGGAAATAAGCCTGAAATAAGTGCTTATTTTAAAAGCAAAGGCTTATTTTTTAAGCCCAAATTTCTAACTTTTTAAGTGCTTATACAATAAGCACTTATTCAATTTTTTTCTTTCAAAATTATCCCTAGTTGAATTTTATAAAATTGTTTTCGTAAAAGTGTTTTCATAAAAGTACGTTCATAAAAGTGTTTTTATAAAAGTACTTTTAAAGGGTATATTTTGAAAAGTTGTAAGAAAATAAAGGACAAAATAGTCACAAATGCTTATTAGAGAAAAAGACTACCAAACACCCAATATAAAATAAGTGTTTCCTTTAAAAAATAAGCACTTGAAAAAGTTAGGTGCCAAATGCAAAAATAAGCACTTATTTTTAATTTAAGCACTCCCAAACATGGCCTTAAACCCAAGCACACCCCCTCACTCTAGGTGTGTAAGAGGATTGATCAGGAACTGGACCGGCATATGATTTTTCCATCCACACCATTGAGAATCTGCTCCCATGCCTGAAAAACAACCGAAAACAATTTCAAACCCAGACCAACCACTTATAACAACAAACCTCAAAGAAGCTCAAAGAGGCAAGGATTCATTCGTAGGGATGGCATGGGGCAGGTTCAGGGAGGGTTTTGTAAATTCTAGACCCGCCTCTTTAACCATCCCAACCCATACCTGCTCCAAACCTGTAGCATCTTAGCGGGTTGGACTTTGAGAATCAAAACCCTCCTCACACATGAAAATGTTAAACCCTCCCTGACCCTACTCTCCCTGCATTTAAGGGTAGGGGTGGGTTGGGCTTAAAACCCACATATAATTTTCTATTATTTTTTGTTATATATAAGCAACAAATAAGTAAAATAACATGAAAAACAGTAAAATTTCCAATTATTTGATTAAGACTTGTAAAAACCGCATGACCTATCAATTATCATTCACTTAAAATTCAAAATATTATTATATTCAACACCATACATAAAATTCATATTCTTTTTTCTATAAAAAAAAAATCATATTCTTTTAACAATATGCGTGTCGGGGAGGCTTGGGTTTGGGCCATTTGGCCTAATACTATACCCTATTCATACCCATATGAGATGTAGAATCCCAAAACCTGTCCCTGCCCCAAAATCCATCCTTCAAATAGGAAGACCCGCCCCTTGGGGTGGATATCCACCGAATAGAGTAGAAATTGCCATTCCTATTCATTCACTACCATCAATAATGCAGCATCCAGACCCAGGGCTTATTTTTTTTTATTATTACGATGTCACCTCCCAAGCCTCTTCCAATTAAATGGGTTGGTGTATATGACAACCACAATCAAAAGATTCAAAACTATAAATACAAATATTGTATAGTGCAAATACAGGTTGAGGCTCAATTTAAAAAGAATGCAAATACAAATATGTTCAATGCAAAACCTTGTATTTGCACTCTATATATTTATATTTGTATTTATACTCTTCCTAAACTGAGCTTAAACATTAAAATGTTTAGATTTGACGAATAAAAGGAGGTCATGGGAATGAGTTTGCATGCAGTAAGAGAACAACCACAGTTTTCAAAATAGAAGGTGCATGAGATGCGTAAATGAGTGCTTCATATCCTCTACGGCTCTACTCACCTCATTACCAGTAGAGGATTCTGAGCTGTAATGGGTTGTTTTGATACACAATTGGACCGGATTCAGATTTTCACACGTTTTAGTAAGGGCCAGAGGTTATGCATGAATGCAACAAAATTGTGTCGCGTCTCTTAATGTAGTGAGATATTAGGATTTTTGTTATGGCAAACATGTTATAACCAATTTTCAGAGAACCGGATCAGTCATATAATCAAAGAAGAGAGCGGTTAACATTGATGAGGTGGCATATATGTATATATTAGGGTTATATAAATATTATATATAATATATTTAAGTTTTAATATACTTGAATATAGTGGATAGATGGTAAATATGTATGTAATAAAAGAGTGAATACCCCTATTTTTGGAATTTTCACTGGATATGTTCTATCCTCCCTTTCTATGCAATATAGCGGGCATATATGTCATTTACTCTCACGGTAATAGAAACTGAAAACAATGCCCTCACTCCCACAAACTCAACTAGTTTCATCTCCCTCCCATGCAAACTCGAACGGTTTCATCTTTCACAAACTATTCCACTTCTCAGTACCTTTCTTTGTGGTTTCATCTTCCACATTCAAAGGGATCGACACTCCCACGATCGTTTATTTCCCACAAAGTGAACGGTTGCTACTCCACTTCTTCCATTCTCACGACGTTCCTTCTCAACATTTCTAAAATTTCCCTCCTGTAAATCAGATTGCAGAAAATGAGGACAAGTGGTATCCTCAGCACAACAAACTCGGCAAGCACGGCCATAACCACAACAACAACACTGGCTCGAACCCTTGTTTTCTTCTCTACTCTTCTGCCTTGTTCTTCTTCATACGGTGATAGAAAGGCTCCATTATTTTTGTTTTTCTTTTTTGCTCGAGTTCTCTCAAACGATTAGCATATAGATCTACTGATTTTGGAGATTCGTTGCACATCCAAGAATGACTTGCCTCCTCTGCGATTCACCCCAAGAATCCGAGAATTGACTCGGTTATTTCAAGGGTAGCCATTGAACGATAATATTTGCAGCAACATTAGAGATTTAACAAAGGCTCAGTTTGGAAATAGTACAAATACAAATATGTATAGTGTAAATACATACAAAATAATATAAAATACAAGGTTTTGCGCTCTACAAATTTACATTTGTACTCCTTCCAAAGTGAGCCTAAAGGGATCGACATCTGATTTTTGAAGTTATTTGTTGAAGAACAGTTGTGAGATCTAAAATCTAGAGCAAGAAGCCCTAAGTAAATTTGGGGTTTTGATGAAATCCACCACAAAAGCAACCATTTAATTGTATAAAGCAGTCTTGAGCACGAAATCGAGACGAAGAACCAATCGGATTTTAGAAAACCTTTTCTTCTTCGATATAATTTCATTTCCTTTTCTTATTTTAATTTATCACTTAAATCAATTATTCACGATTTTGTCTTTGTGCTTTTGAGGCCCAATACCCTCATTTGTAAAGGTTGCATATCTTTGGACTCATCCGACATTTAAGTGTTTGGCCAACCCAACAAGTAGTAGTAATAACCATGGTTTTTAAAACCGACCAGGCAACAAAATCAGTCAGGGGTCCGGTTATCGGGTCGAATGGTCCGACCATTTGACCCAAACGGTCAACCCGTTCTGACAAAAAAATAAAAAATTTGAAAAACGGTCAAAACCATTCGAATGATTAACCAACCAGTTCAGCGATTTGCTGACCAAATTAAAGAAAAAAACGATTTTAGAGAAAAATGGAACTGATCCAGTTTTGAAAACCATGGTAATAACCCAAAGTAATAGTAGTCAGAACTTTAATAACCCAAAGTTGCTGATTGCAGTCATTGGCCAGACGGTATAACAAGAGCTACTGAGAATCCATTTAAACATCATGCCTGTTAGTACTTGTTATGAGACGAGCCGAGTGATAAACGGGTATGAGAGTATGAACTCTCGTTTGGAGGAGGAGGAAGCGAGGATGTTAGAGTTGTACATTTTCACTTTTTATCTTTTATTGGTAATTAAGCAGATTTTCTCAAGGGCAAAAAACGATTAAAGCCCATATGATGTCATTGAAGACATGATATTAGTGCTTATTAGTATTAACCATTGAAGCCATATGTTGCCATTGTCGTTGAACGAGAGTAGAGAAACTGCCTTTGACTGTGTCATATACCTTTTTATCAGTTCAATCATTGTGTTGATCAATATTTGTCGAATATGTCATATAATTCTTCTTTAGGAAGTAAAAGAGGAATTAAAGACATGGATTTTGGTCCTTCCGGATTTGTTGTCTTGGCTTTGTACCATTGCATAAATTTTTTCATTGCATAAAATTCTTTACTGCCATCTATCATTAGGTGTCCACCTCACGCACTACTAGAATACATACATTTAGAGGCTCCGGGCAGAGATGGTCCAAAAATATGCCTTTGTAAAGAAGGTAACTTCATTGCTTTGTTATAGAGGTGCTTTGTTATGCCTCCTTTATTACAATTTTAGCCCTCATATTTGGTGACTATGATTCCCATAGAGGAAGACCCGAATCTTATTATGAATTATGGGCAAGGTGATTCAGTCATATTTGCAATTTTAGGAATAAATATTAAACGGTAATTCAAGATTCATTAATTTGAAAATTTGTCATTCTTTACCACAAATCATTATTCAAAATCTCTCTCTAACTTGAACAGTTGAACCTCCAATTTGAATTTATCATAATTTAATCATTACCCTGACAACCTTTGTGCACACTTACTAGTACAATAAAGAGTCATTAAATAGCACAGCTAAAAAGGTGGATTAATGATAGTTAAGTTATATATGAAAATAAGAGGTTAAGGATTTAGGTTTTGTTACACTCATTTTAGAATTTCAATTACTTAGTAACCTAGGTGATTTCATGAAAGCAGGACCAGTTCATAGATTTTTCGGTTAAACTGAACAGTCAGCCGGTTTTTATTAGGTTTTTAGACATTGCGGTTCTAGGGGTGTGACCAAACCAGTCAGGGCCCCTGGTCATAACTTTTATATATATATATATATATATATATATACTTCATTCGATGCGTTAAAATCATACAACTGGGTCGATTTGATGCAGGAGACCTGCAAAAAGTTGGAAACTTTACCTCTTGGAACCATGGATATTGCCCCTGCAGCTGAACTGTTAAGTATGATAAATTTCACCATGAGTGTTCTATATATATTTTAGTTCCTCAGTGCTTGAATTCAGTACTTGTTGAGATGGATTGTTCGCTACTCAACTGTAAAGTGAAAGCTAGACAGTTTATCTAAGACACCAAGATCAAAGCTGACCTGCCTACGAGCTGAACCCCAGCTGGTCAGCAGCCTGATGATGAGGAGGGGTTAGAAGTTAGAACGACTTGGCCAAATGGTCGTGGGTGGGGAGGAGGGGGGAACCCAAACCAAACAGTTCTGTTCAGAGAAACCCTTCATTGTTACACGTCCTGCTGACAATGTTGAACTTAAACTCAAAGCTTTCAGAATCTGAGAAAACCTGATAGATTCTTAACTTTAGAAAGCTGCATCAAGTATATGTACGATTTAAGGAGCTCCATCTCGCTGCATGATTCAATTACAGTGACAATTATATAATAATGTTCCTAGATGAATTAAACACGAATTCAAGTCATTAAATCTACTAAATTATGACATCCTAACCCTTTTATTTAAACTTTGATCAACTACAAAATGCATTAATTTAAGAATATTTCAGCAACTATGATATTCTTGTAGATATGCATCTATATATACAAAGAAGATGTTTCAGTCCCAAACTTTATCCATTTTCGTTGAATTAATTTTTTTTTACAACTTTAATTAGTAGATGCATGCCTTTTCTTATTTTATTTTATTTCATTTTAAAAGCCAAGCATCCTAGCACATACCCATTTCAGACAAAAAGATAACCGAAGTGGGCTTTAACATATTTCAGAGAAAAAGAGACTGAGGCAAAAACCCGACCACATACAATATCATTGGTCAGTAGATTACGCTTCTCAACAACATTCTCAGCGTGGCTTGTCCAATGTCCACGACTCCAGACAAGCAGCAGAAAGAAAAAGAAAAATTAATTTATTCCTTTCAGGCCTGTTAAACAAAGACTTGTCTAAAATTAAATATTTGTAATCCGAAACCAGACCGCCATCCCCATATCAGTCACCAGTACTATCAAATGTTAAATTTCGCGAAACCTGATTAAGATAAAATTCTTCGCTTCTAGCTAGCTGAATCTGAATCTTCTGATCGTTGACAACTACAAGTAAATGAGTAATGGCTCCTGCTCATCAAGCAAGAATATATTTATAATTATGAGTTAATGAATGTGATAGTTTTTGGAATGATCATTGCTGATTATTATCAGAATGAGCTCTTTGTTCTTTTAGGGTGGTGTTGGATCGATTCAAATGCTTCTGGAACTCGGTGCAGATGGTATATATATATACTATTTGATATTCCTTGTCAGCCAAGTGCAATTGTGATTCCTTCAATAAATGGGGCTTCTGATACCAAACTGAAACTGAAAACTGAAAAGGTATTGCTTTAAAAGAAGCTTTGAATAATATATTACTGCGGCGTAATAACTAGACTTGGGACCAAAGAAAGTGAAAGTTATGGGGAAGAACATGGGGGCGATGATCTTAGACTATTACCGCCTGCTCCCAATCCCATCTCTTCATATCCCATCCTTCCACCTTTTTTCCTGGACGGTCATATGCGGACTCCACATTCTCTAAAAGATATGTGTCAATGCAATTGGTCGGTTCTCGGTCCATTAAAATATTTGCAGGGTGTAAATTAAATGACCTCAAAAGAGTTACTCCCACTACTTCACTGTATTTATAAATGTGGCTCCGACCTTGCTGATCGATTCTCTGTCGTCTCTCACTGTAACTTGTTCCAAGCTAGTGGTCACGTTCACGTATACAAAGGAGACGAAGTGTCGAGTGTGTTCCGACTTCCAGAAGTGTCGAGTGTGTAACTTCATTTTTTATCGCCCCTTGTTCCAGTTTCTGACAATGGCAAAGCTTGTCCAAACCTGGGCTCAAATCCCAGTCGGGTTCTTTGAATTTTGAAGCTGGGCACGGTTCTGATTCTTGACCAACTGATCGTTGTCCCTATAAATAAGAATACATCTTTATTAATTCCATTTGTTTCCCATCTCATCTCATCTAAGTTAAACCAGAAGATCAGCCATGGAATTGGCCCGGGCACTGTTATTGGTTTTCTGCATTTCCTTGTTTTCCGTTCAAGCTAGACATCATCATAACCATACCAAGCACAAGCACGGCCATCGAGTCTCCTTCATTTCACAGCCCCCTTCACCACCACCTGAGCCTGCAGCTAGTAATTTTAGTGGTATCTTCAGTGTACTGTCATTTGGTGCTGTTGGAGATGGCGTTACAGACGATACTCCAGCTCTCAAGATGGCATGGGATGCAGCCTGTGAATCCGAATCGGCAGTCCTCCTTGTTCCTGATGGCTACTCCTTCATGATCCAGTCTGCAATTTTCACAGGCCCTTGTCAAAATGGCTTGGTGTTTCAGGTAATATGATGAGATTGATTATCTCAAAGTTAATCTGTAATTGAACACATATTAATTTGCTTTAGTTTACATAGAGAAATTACAGAAGAAAATGCTGATGGGTGTTGGGTGTTGGTACTTTTTCAAAACTCATGAGAAGATTGATGGTGCTCTCATGCCGCCTGATGGGCCTGAGTCTTGGCCTAAGAATTACAGTAGACGCCAGTGGCTGGTATTCTACAGAATCAATGGAATGACAATGCAAGGGGGTGGTCTTATTGATGGGAGAGGTGAAAAGTGGTGGAATCTTCCCTGTAAACCCCACAAGGTAGAGAAGCTAAATTTCTTTCTGAACTCCACAAATTTAATTTTCAGGGGTCTAAATTTTGATGACTAACTGTTTCCATGATACAGGGAGTTAATGGAACGACGTTGCCCGGACCCTGTGATAGCCCTGTAGTAAGTTCATCATGATCGACCATTAATTATTTCCTAGTTTTTACGTTATACATTAATTAATGCACCAAAGATTTTTTTTTCTTAGACATAATCTTGTAATAATGCAGGCCATAAGGTTCTTCATGAGCTCCAACCTAACCATTCAGGGGCTTAAGATTCGGAACAGCCCCCAGTTCCACTTCAGATTTGATAACTGCAGAAACGTCCATGTAGATACAATTACCATAAAGTCACCCTCTCACAGTCCCAACACTGATGGAATTCACATAGAGAACACCAACTCTGTCCGGATATATAATTCCATCATTTCAAATGGTATATATATGCAGAGAATCTCTCAATATTTTCACAAAATACATCTTACTGTGTTGTGCACTAACTGATCCTCACTACAGGCGACGATTGTGTATCGATTGGATCTGGTTGTTATGACGTAGACATAAACAATATCACATGCGGCCCCAGCCATGGAATCAGGTATATATATATATATACAGACCCTGATGAACTCTCCCTTCTGTGGATGAATTAATGTATCACCTATGTTCATTTGAAGCTCACAAACTTCATATATATATATATACTTTTTCCTTCTGTTCAGCATTGGGAGTCTAGGAAGCCGTAACTCGCGAGCCTGTGTTTCCAATATCACAGTTACCAATTCAGTCATAAAGCACTCAGATAATGGAGTTCGGATTAAGACATGGCAAGGAGGATCAGGGTCTGTATCTGGGGTGAGCTTCAACAATGTGCGAATGGACACTGTGAGGAATCCCATCATAATAGACCAGTTCTACTGCCTCACCAAAGGCTGCCTCAACCAAACCTCTGCGGTCTTTGTCTCGGATATCTCATATACAAACATCAAGGGGACTTATGATGTGAGGAGCCCACCAATGCATTTTGCCTGCAGTGACTCAGTCCCATGCACCAACCTAACCCTCTCGGATGTGGAACTTCTTCCTGCTCAAGGAGAGTTTGTGTTGGATCCATTTTGTTGGAATGCTTATGGCGCTTCAGAGACGCTTACCATTCCACCAGTCTCCTGCTTGCTGGATGGTATACCAAGGTCGATACTGGAGAATGACATAGAACACTGCTGAATCACTAGACTACATCATGTAAAGCAAATCTCTCTCTCTCTCTATTTATATATAATATTTACTTAATTAGGAGCTGAGAAAAATTTCATAAAGTGTAAGAGATGAAAAGTATAATATAATATAGTTGGGAAAATTAAGGAGTGATGTACTATGTATGCTCCACCATATATATACCTTGTTTCCACTGTAACTTTAGTTTAAGAGATTTTTTTTTTTACTTTTCATCCAGACTCCACTACACTAGTTTTCTACTCCTTTTCTTTTTCTTTCTGGCGATCACTCAAACTTATCAGTTATCACTCCATAGAAAAGTTAGAGACGACATTAATGTATATAGTCTTGAGAGATACAACAGCTTTTAATTTATATCCAAGTTCAGAAAACTTGGAGCACTTTTGTATATTGAAATGGGTGTGAACAGGCGAAGTATCACAGTAGTTGGCCTATAACATATGGCTATCCATTAAGATTTGGTCAACATTAAATATTGATCAATGACAATTATTAATTGTCACCTTGTTAATAGGAACCTTTCCGTTTCTTTCTATGCATGATCCTGCTCAATAAAATCTAGATAATTAAAATAATTACTGATAGTCACACAACAAATTAAATGCTTTCTGTCTCGTGGGTTTGCTTACTTTTCAGCAAGCGAGTAGATAGTTCATGTCTGTTTATATACGGGAGACAGAGAAAGGATAGCAGGATGGGGAGATTGAGAAGACTTAAGGTCGAGAATTTATAGTATGATTATATTTACATGCAATGAGCAAGTTCAAGAACAGCCGAGTTTAGAGTTCTACTGATATGATTTGCAGATATAATATCAAAAAACTTAAACATAGGCATATATAATTTCGTCTTTGATGGGCTTGATAATCCAATCCTCCTCCGTCTGATTATAGAAGCCAAGCACTTGCATCAGTAAAGACTACCAGAGATCTAATCTGTTTCGAGATTGCCTGATTGAGACCAAAAAATAATTAGGCTCTCCATTCGGCATGTTTAGTACTGTCTACTGCATCCACTCTTCTGCTGCCTGTACAAATAAGTGTGTCAAGTTTTGATTTAATAACAAATCCTGCTCCTGCCTGTCTTGATTCTGCATGAAAAGAGCCGCCCACATATAGATGATAATCTAAAGATGTTCGATTCCATACTCCACCTGTTGCTCAGGCCTAAGTACCTTTGAGGAGAACAAGATAAACAGAAGAATATAACGCGGCAGTGAGTTAGTTCATCTGTTCATGTCTTCATGAATTAAAAAAAAAAAAGAACCCATTAACAGGACTGCAATAATAACGGAAAACGAAGAGAATATGTTTTGAGAGTGAGTGAAGGGGAGTAGGTTTTGACCATGATCTCACAGTGACTTCGATATGTGAGTGCGGAAGTGGTGCACGGCGGATGGCTGTTCTCTCTCTCTCTCTCTCTCTCTCTCTCTCTCTCTCTCTCTCTCTCACGCGTAACGTCTACAATAATCATGGGTTGAAGGTAGGCTTACGTGCTCTGAAAAGGTAAGGACGGTGCACGACCTAAATTCCAAAAGCGACCCACCAAACTTCCCTTTTTTTTCATCTCTCTCTCTCTCTCTCTCTCTCTCTCTGGCTGTTTTGTAACTTATAGTAGACAAGATGTTGATCTCCCCGAAGTGGGTCTTTCTTAGAGACCACCTAACTTTTAACAAACGTGCTCCGTCTAGTGCTACTCAATACTCATTCTTTCTAGAAAAGTGAGAGTAGAAGAAAATAGTCACTGGATTCTGCCGTTTAAAGCCCCTCATAGAGTCATCCATTTCCTTGTCTATTCGGTCTCCCACTTGTATCACTTTTAATTCTTTGCCATTGTCTTAATCAGGCTTTAATTAGTTCCCTAATCGGTTCTGTTACTGTTTAAATAGCAAATTCTTAACTGCTAGCTAGCTGATGAACCCTGGAGGAAACAATTTTGTAGAGTTTACAGATAGCCCAATCCCAAGATGTTTCCATATAGCTAGGTTCAGTTTGGGAGGAATACAAATACAGAATATGTACAGTATAAATACATTGAAGTGGACTGATCCAAATTAAAATGGTTCAAAGTATTCATCGGATTGGATTGGACCTGGTCCATTTGTAATGAACTCCTACCAGTCCAGTCCAATTGACACCCCTACCAGAAGGAAGGCATGATAGACCCGGTTAGAACTTTGATGTATAAAGTAGTTTGGCAGATCTGTTTTAAACTGTAAAAGACAAATGTGCATTACACTGGGTCTATCATCTCCACCTTCTGATCATCATCGTCATCATCATACTATGTGAAATATCATGTCCCACCTGATTCCATTCATGATTCAACCTGACTGGATTGAATCCATTATGTATAAGCAAATTATATCAAAAGATTCTGATATATAAATGGGCACTTCTGTGGCACTGTGAGACAGCAGGGGACCCTTTTGTTTGAAACTTTAACTTTGAGGTTTGAAGCTCACTGCCAGGGATTGGGGCTGGACTGCTGGAGGAGGAAGAATGTGGATATCGAAAGCTGCACAAAAGTAACCCAAAAGAGAAAGGAATCCACAGACAGAGAGAGAATCTCACTAACACACTTTATACAATACAATGTTGCGTGGAACCCCATTAACATATAAAAAGCTTTTCTGCTTCTCTCTTATATGGATGGACATCAGCTGACACAGAGGAGTTGGAATCTTTCAATGTTCTTCTCGTAATACCAGGCCATTCACAATAAAGCTTCCTGCTCCATCCAGTAACAAAATCTTAGATGGGTTCAAGCTTAGTCCAGAATTCAACTAGACTGATCATCGGCTAACGTTGCGCCATGGATTGGTCGGTTTATAAATTCAACTAGGCTGTTTGGTTTTGAAGGTTCTATCTGGTTTTTGGTACAGATAGGATAAAAGAGCAGACTGAAGTACTAAAATACTGCTGGGAAGTGTGAACCATCCTTTTGGGTCTAAAAACATTCTCTCTGTCTCTGAAAGTTACTGCGAAAAAGTTGTTATGGTACAGCATAGCAGTTACAGATTGAAGAGTTGCCCTCCATGGCCAACACTGTGTTTTTCGTTGTCTGTTTTGGGTTATTTTCTCTTGACTCTAGCTCGTAGCTTTTAATGTTTTCCTTTTTTTTTCTTTTTTGCTTTTATTTCTTCTTTTTATCAGTCTTTTTCCTGCTGCAGTTACCTGAAAAATACTGCCCTGTTTCAGAAGAAAAAAAATATATTCTTATTCCTGCAAAAGCTTAACCCTATACAATCTTGGAATCTTTTCTTGTCTCCCCACAATGAAAATGTCAAAATTGAAGAAATCATTAATACTCATTACAATGACCAAAAACAAAAATAAATTAGTGAATTACTTGAGTTGATATTCTTATTAACTTGCTAATGATGCTGTTGGGAAAAAAATCAGTGTTCTATAAGCAACAAACGTGATTCAATAAGAACAGAACAAGAAGGAAATTGAAGGACAGAGTACATATGGCATCTACTGCTAAGAACATATAACCCAATTTACACAAAAATCAAGAAAGATGAAAGATGAAAAGTTTTATGTATGTGGCAGAAAGACCAGATGAGCATCAACTGTAAAGCAAAAAGGAAAAGAGAACTACATATTTACATGCAGTGCAACACATGAAATTGCTTGCAACTATCTATGAAGAACGGTTAACACCTTAAAATAGAAAACATGTAATAAGGGTTGGAAATACAAAAGATGGGAAAATCCATCTAACGTAGCATACAGTTCCAGTATTTATATAGATATAGATGATACACAAAACTAACTACATCATAGATAATGCATTTTTATGCACTCAGCCAATTATAGATTTGGGTTTGCTTTTGTGATCAGGGACCAAGAAAATACACGACTGTAATATATCTTTCTCTTCTTTCACCCTTCCATATATCCAAATTCTTTCTTTTGGTTCACAATCCATAAATTTTTTTCCTCTTAACAGAAAGTTTTCAGATGCTTGATGCAAGTACCTCCGACAAGGAAGCTGCAACTTGTTGAATTATCTACCAACAAAATGTTTAGGAGAGAGAGAGAGGGAGAGAGAGAGAGAGTTATTCATTTAAATGGACTAAGATAACAGGGATAGAATTGATTAGCTTTACCATTCATTTAAAGAGTGAACATCAGGCATAAAACATTGGTTGCCATTTGATTTACACTCTTAATTATAGACAAGGAAAACAAATTATATAAAACTTTAATTTCCAATGGATCTTGAAAAGCACTCAACTAGGGAACCTGGCTACAGATGGCTGATGCTTATTACCATGGTTTTAAAAAATGACCCGGAAACGGAATGGTTCTGGCCACCGGTTTCTGGGTCGACGGTCCGACTGTCTGGTTCAAATGGATGGCCCATTTTGACAAAAATTTTAAAAAATAATTAAAAATAAAAAAACGACCAAAACTGTTGAATAGGTTGACAGGTCGATGGTTCGACCACCCCGGTCAACGGATCATTGACTTTTTCAATGGTTTTTGGTCAGGGACTGGATTTGGGGTAAAACAGAACTGATTGTCTGAATGGTTTTTTGGCCAAACGGTCTGACTGTCTGCATCAATGACGATTCAAAAACCATGTTTATTACCAACACATATACCAATTCAATGGCTCCAGACATTGAATTAGACTGGTCCAAAATGATCCAAAATATTTATTGGATTAAATTGAATTAGACATTGGTAGTATTTTTGTAAGTACACCGATAAGATGTTCTTCCCTTTCATTTCCATTTGGCTATTCCAACTTCAATTCCTTATCATGATTATCCGAATTCCGATTTTTTTAATAGATAAAAGTTCCATTTATTAAGCGATTGATAAGTTGGTAGATCTAAATTGATGAAGTTGAAAGATGCACTTTTGGTTTGTACTCGAGACATAGATCATGCATGCTGGTTTGTTTCAAATTGCGTCGTGCTGGTTCCATGGTAGTAGTACTACTGCCAATTTCAGCCAAAATTTTTTGATACTTGAGAAGCTCAATTCTCAGATTAAATCCACACAGAAAAATGTAGAGGGATGAGTGAGTTGCAAGAGCAATCAGAAACACTGCTATCATATGAAGTGAAAATTCCTAAAGAAGCATCTGAAATAAGAATTCGTGAAAGTTTCTTGTTTCCCATGGTTGCAGAATGTTGGTATGCATTC